AAATGCAAAGAAACAGTGAATCGATATCCATTATGAACCATACTTTTAGAAGAAGAATTTCATCTGTTTATCTAAAATATCCTCCATGTAAATAATTTTAATTCCTGTGATATGAAATTATTTTTTTCCTTCACGTTCCTCAGTGGAACATAGGGCTTCAAGCTAGTGGCTTGAAGTTTCTGTAGCAGTGTTTATTTTACAGGATGGGGTTGCTAGCCTCATGCCCAACCTTTCCTCTTCACCAGCATTTTTCTGACTTAGCGAGGTAAAGGAGTGCGTCGGCCGGGGATCGAACCCCGGACCATGTGCATGGTCGGCGAGCGTCCTAACCGCTATGCCACTGACGCACGATATGAAATTATAGTTTGACTAAATTCTTATGAAAAAGGGAACAGACTATGTCGAATATTCATTCCATTTTGATATGCGATGAATCTAAGTATTAATTCTTCTCAATGACTTCTTTTACCTATAATGTACATTATTTTTAAAGAAACGATTAACAGGTTGGTAGTAAATCGTAAGGTGCTGACGACTATACGAGCGATGAAACAGTCAACTAGTAATGTGGACCAAGTAAAGGTATTTTATGAAGACACGAGAATACATTCGAGACTTCTAAAAATAAATATTTTAAAAGCTAATATTAGAAGTGAAAAATTACTGTTAGCCATGTTTAAGTGAATGAAAACAAGGAACTGTGGCAGAAGTTTGAAAACGAATTGTATTCAGTTAGGTTGTGAATTTCATGTGAATGAATCAAAGCCTAAGTAAAGGTCAAATAAGACTGTGAAAGGAAAGATTTGTGCAACTTGTGAGTTCAAAGTTCACTAGGCAAATCATCTATAAAATGCATTCATATGTATATTAACTGTCTGAAAGCAATTTCCACTCCTTTTTGCAATTTTTTTCTTATATATTCATCCGCACAAACATTCTTAATTAGAACTTTTTGTACTGCCACTAATTACTGTCAAACGGAATTATTTAAACTTACAGAACTTATTTTGTAGCTAAGAGTTTTCATCTGATTTCTCCTGTATATTAGTAGGATGAAACTGAGGAAGTATGTATACTGCCCAGTTCACGTATTTTCATCAAATAAGTTTCTCTTTATTGAACTGCAAACTCTTCTTGAAAAAATGACATCAAAAAGTCTATTTTATTCCACAGTCATAGTTTTCCTTATAGGTAAACTTTCTGGAAGTATATATTTTATTGAACTCGAAGAATCTCGAAAGTGTCTATTCTACTTCTCATAAAGGATGAATGTATCACACATATTTCGTCTATAAATTGCAAAATTTCCAAGTAAATGGCTAAATGGACCGCCTAGTTTGGCTAGGAAAATGTATCTAAAAACTGTGATTCAGGGGCAAATCGATTCCCCTGTTTGTAGAGTCCACCCTTCAGCATGAAATTATTGTTCATAATATATCTTAGCAATAATTCTTTGAAAATATTCAATGAAACTCTACGATTTATTGACCTTTCACTCACCTAATTATACAAGCAACTGACAGTAACAGAAATGGAACATTTATATGAGAGAAGTCCCACTGAAAAATGTCATCATTTTGTCTTTAATATTAACTAGTTTGATCCTTTCTATAGATCTGAACGCATCTTTAATACTGTATCGCAGTAACTGTTTGAAAAAAGATTTCAAAACAGTATCCAAGTATTTCCTTTGGCTATTGTTCGTGTTACTGTGCTCGTAAAGAATACGTTTTTGTGTTATCCTTTTTTGTTAGTTCTAACTAAGCACAAAGTTTTGATAGAGTTATATGTGCTGCTCTCAGCTTAAATATGAATCATTGCGTTTCTCTGACGGAAAGTAGGATCTGGTCTGTTGTCTGAAATTACAAACATCTAGATTTGGTATATATACATATATATATATATAGATTGATGTGGTTACTTTGAGCCTTCCCATATGGATCTGTCAGAGAATCACTAAGTTGACTGAAGTTTCTCTCTTATCACTTTCTAATAACTTGTATGAAAAATTCCCTGATATGATATATTAGATCATTTGGAAGCTCCATAATGGTTAAGATTTTATTTTGATAAATCACACAGTGTTGTACAGTTATATTAACTGATCAGTTAATATAACTGTACAACACTGTGTGATTTATCAAAATAAAATCTTAACCATTATGGAGTTATACTCTACCACAGTGCCCAAGTTTTATACTTATATCATTTGGAAGCTCGTCTAATGCATTGTTTTCTTCAAACAGCTTTCATTTATATCTCCTGTATAAATATATTGAATGAATCATTTTATCTAATGTGAATCTTTTCAATTTTTTGTGCTGGCTTGCACTCTATTCTGACGAAGAGATCTGATTTGTGGTTTAAAACACGGTCATGGTTCGGTTCAGTTATTTTATAAAACTTAATACAGTCATTACTTCATCGAGATTAACGCTATACATTCGGAAATTTTTGAGAACTTCCAGTTCTCCTGGCTGTTCACAATATTTCAGATATCTACTGGAAATTCAGATTGGTGAATACAGCACATTCGTCTTCAGTGTCCACAGTTATGCATTCACGCTAATTAGATAATTTAATTTGTATATTCAATTACACAATGACTATATGTGGCACCGGATAGTCAAGTTAAAAAGAATGACCATCTTCAAATAGCCAAAATGAATAGACAAAACGATGTCTTCTTGAAACGTGTATAGCTCATGAGTTTAGTTATGGTCAGATTAGGCATTTCCTTCATATTTTAGAAACGGATTTGTGTTAAGTCTCAACAGTCCTAGATGATGTGTAGAAGTATGAGTCCACTTGAAACATGGAAAAAGATGTATGACTTAATCACACTAACAGAAATCATCTTTACTTAGTTGGTCTAAAATCTAATGTTTGAATTGTTCTCACCTACTTTAACAAAGTTACGCCAATGTTGAACACTAAGCAGATTCTCTCGAACAACAGTGCTAAACAAAATGTTTTACTTCGGTGATATATGTGAAAAACAGTCCTCAAATCAATAACACAAATTTTAATGGGTAGCTGATGACTTTTCTCTTCTTTCTTGTTGGTAAACATTTCATGGCATTATTATCATAACTCCCAGTGGATATCAACTGATATGAATCCACTTGTCATTCCATAGTCTTATAAACCTATGCAGAAGTGAGAGTCTTACCTTAGGAGGTATATGGGATCTGACAGTCACAAGTGTTTTGACACCCATTTGGCTATACTTGTATCAGATCCTGAATAACAGAAAAATCAGATCATATGCCGATTTAGGCAAATAAGACTCTAACAAGGTTAGAATTATATTTGGTTTGTATGACTTTATCTGGACCACATGTGAAACATTTAGGAGGTTTACCAAAATATACAGAAAATACCTTTCCCATAGTGTTTCATCTTTCTGCAGTAGACTGTCGACCAGTTTTCAATACTAATAAACATCTTTTTAACCTCACTTCTTAAAAAAGTTTCTACTAGTACTCCCATTCATGCACTGTTGGTAAACAGAGAAGTGCGAAATTTTTAAACCAGTAACTAGTAGTTATGAGTTGTCGAAGAAAGGGGACTTGGTGACTCTTAGTTTGATTGCTTTTGAATTTCGAGTCGAATATAGGGCTCCAGCTGTGTATTTTCGTTTCACTCTGTTCTCTAAAATCATTTGTTTGGCTCGACGACTGCTCATAAGCTGTCATCTCTACCTCATACATTCGCCTCCATGTTACCCTCGGAGTGAAATTAAGCTGGCCGTTTCCTGTTCAGGTGCTGCCTAAGGTCCTGAAATGTGATCCCAATCACTGGTGTCCTCAGTGTATGTCCAGTCCATCCATATTTCCGTCTGCATATTTATTGGACGACAGATTCATGACTGATTCATTAACAGTGTTACTTGCTGTTTGCTTATCCTTTCTGCATGCTCATGTGGTCTTCACCGTCGGGTCAACAAGGCAGTTGTTGATGAGCGTCTGCAGTAGTCTGTTGGAAATGCTCTTTTGTGGTGGAAGCTCGAAGTTCCTGAACCAAACAGAAGCAGTGATTTGACATTAGTATGGAAAATTCGAATCTCGTTCATCGTAGATCCCCATATTGATTTCAGAGTAATGAAGGGCTACCTTGATTTTCCGATCATGTTTTTGACATCTTCATCAGTATAGCTGAGATGACGCTGTTTAGATTAGGGAAATAAGTTCCTTATTGTAGATTTCTCCTGTTGATGACGACTGATGTTTGCTGTTGTTTGTTATCGGTTATCCTCATCACCGCTGTCTTCTTTAAGCCCACCTGAATTCTTGTCTTTACTGCCTCTTCACTCAACTTGTTGGTTTTTTCCTGTTTCTTTGAGTTTTTATGAGATTGTACATATAGACATCAGGTATCCGTGAAGTCCAGATCTTCTAGAGTCTTCTTTTAGACCAGCGTATTTCTGTCTTCTTGCGGTGTACATTTGGACCAATACAATACAGTTAAGCAAATCAATAGATTTTGTAAAAATGATGAATATATCTTATTTCATTAATGCTTATCCTTTACTAACACGAGGAATTTACAGAAGTCCTTTCAAAACAATAGATAAATGATTTACCTTGAACCTAATCAAAGTATTTTGGTAGACTAATTTTCAGCCATTTTAAAAGTATGAAAAGGAAATAATAATAATGAAACAAGAACTAAACCAGTTTATATCAAGTACAAAATGAAGTAATACTACAATGACGTTGAAAGAGAAGAGTTGTTGATGAGCTTAGAGTATAACCCACCAGTGATTAGTGTATTTGCATTCCTTAAACGTGAAAGCAGATACAACATAATTTATTTATATTGTTACTATTTCTATTTAAACAAGCAACTTCAATTAAGGAAGAAATATTATCGAACAATTGGTACACATTCATAACTCTCAGTCACAAGAAAGCAATAGTAACTGTACTGTATGTTTCTGACGAAATACTAATGACGATTTTACTACTGAATTCAAGAGTTCGTTTTTATCTTTTCAGATGAAGTCAAGCCAGCTCCAGACTTACTATCTATAGAAGAAATTGATCAGTATGAAAAGAATCTGTTAGAAATGAATGATAGGACGCGTTTCTCAAGACAAATTAGAAGAAAATATGCACGTCAGAGTAGGCGATTGTTTCGTTTAAGAAATCAAAGAATACAAAGGAGAAAATCTTCAAATCAGCTTACAGATCATAAAAGTGAAAAACGAAAAATTCGTTCCTTACTTGAAGATGATACAGTGAACAAAGAATCTAAAATTTCAGACATTATTCTAACTAATAATAATTCAGAAGAGAGATCTCTATTGAACAAACATTTAAAGAGTAATACGGTTGCTGCTATTACTGTTCACAAAATAGCTATTCGTCCATCTGTATTGGTCTTAAAGCATGGAAATGTCCAAGCACGTATACATTATGTTATGCAATTGCATAGAGAATTAAGTGAGCAGTATCGATTGATCATAGAGGTGCGCATGAATCCAAGCTTTCCACCGTTGTATATTGGGTAAGTTACTTCGTTATTAAAATTGTGAAATGCTTTTTATTAAATTCTTCTTAACATATCGCTCTCTGTAAGTCTCTACAAAGTTTTCTCAACCCATTACGTAAACATTAAATGAACTAAATAATGACTTATTCGAAATAATAATATTGATCATTTTACTCGAAACAGTAATTTTTATGCAGAATAGAATTTTCAGCATTGTACATACTGCAACAATCTATCTATTTTTACGAATAAATAAATAAAATAGTAATAATAATAAATCCGAAGTAATTAATTCTTTCCTGACATCTGTCTCTTTATATAACCCCCATGCTAAATATGCTATGGTTGAATTTTCATATTTAGTTATAACAGCATTAATGCTGATGAAGAGGGACAAGAAAAAATTGTGAATAAAGGGAATGTTCAGTATCTGACAAGACAACCTCCTGAAATTACCTGAAAGAATTAAAACACTTATCAATGACAGTGTCACTTAGTTGAGTCAGAAGCACACCAGCTTACAGCTTTCAAAGTCCTACGTAATATAATGTAGTCTTTTTTGAAAATTCAAGGGAAGAATAAGAGGGGACAATAGAGAAAAACGGATAGAATATGAAAACTGATAAGCTGTAGGAGAAGAGTGTGAGTTATGGTAGAAAGTTTCAAATTTCTTATGTTATAAGTCATATGAAAGTTATTTTTAGAAAACACCAAGGTATGTATGATACGGTCAACAAAGATCAGAAGAGAAACGGATGCCAAAATCAGATAAAGTTCGGTCCTTTTCCTATCACAGTGCCTGACATAATACGAGAATCATGGGACTGAATCAGTCAACGCAAGTCTTGTTCACGTCAGAAAATAAAATTAACAATCTGACATACAGAGGGATTCAGTTTAGGACCATCTGAATAAAACTATTGGAAGCCATTCATATGAGAACAGTCTAGTGCAGAAACGACTGGGACAGAAATTGTCAGACTATTACCATGTTTAGTGAAACTGACCTTAAAAGAATACGGTAAGTCATACAGAAACAAAGAGAAAAGGAGTGGAGACTGAGATAGCCTCGAATAGACAGACTAATGTTAAAGCAATGAGTGATGACTGAATGCGAAATGATAATCCTGACCACAGCAGCCTTCGGATTACTGGTGTAGCTATTTATCAGCTGAGATACTAGATGCAAGTGCAAGTTCCACAGGTAACGTCTGTACGCATAACTGACTTCAATAATCCATTTCTGATATTTTACTCACCAATTACATAAATGTGAACTGTAACTCAGAGAAATAATTAAAAGTGACTTAATTAATCAATCATATTTGTTTGCGAAATGAGGTTCTCACCAGCAAAGTACAAATATCTGAGATATACTGAGTCATTTTATTTCTGCTGGTTGAAAACTGAGACATCATCATCTACAAAGACAGATTCACATAAAATAAATCGTTTTTAGCTTTAAGTTTACTTTTAACTACAAAAGAATAAATAACAATCATAATACCTGTTATTTCCACTCTAAACTTGATGATTCCATTGTATAACTAGAAAATAAATTTATTTTATTATAGATTAATAGTAATAATATGACTATTTGCATTCACTCTTCAGTAATGAAGGTGGATCGAGTTCATAAGCAATATTTCATTAGACTAATTAGTGAGTTCACAAAAATATATAGGTCTGATGAAAATCCATATGTATCGGCAACGATAATTCTAAGTCCTGTTTCCTCATAATTTACACATAAAGCAAACTAGTGTTTGATAATTTAATTTTTTTTCTCATATTTCTCTACCAACATGTAGATAAAATAGTGTACACGTTATCTTAATTTTTCTTATTCACGATAAGAAAACCTTCATTTAAAGAAATTTTATATCAGTGTAATTCTTTTTTTTTTAAATTATAGTATTTTCAGAAGATTACCTCAGTGGTGGCTTTATAGTTGTAGTTATTCATATCGAGGATTTTATTGTTAGTCTAGACGTAATCTTAATTTCGATTTCTCAGTATTCGTTGGAGAATTCTACAGACTTTACTGATCTACCGCCTTGACGTTTGGTGACTAGAAATGGAATCTTGGATGTTTATTTCATCTTATTCAAGAATCGTCGGCTAGATTTATCTGTTATCTTCCTTAAAAACATCATGCTATTCCTCAAAAGTGTCTATAGTGGGAGCAGACATGTTGAAAGTGATAGAAGATTTTGGTCTAATCAATCAAGAGGAAAAACAAAATTGGTGTAAACAAAAATCGATAGCCTTCTATAAATGTCGTCTCCCAGTATCCTATGATATACATTGTGTAATTTATCCTGAAGATTAAAAACCTTCTTTGCAATCAACTTACAAGAATTCGTCCTGTTCTAGAGATAGATTTAGGTAGAATATTCTAATATTATCCAAAAAGAGTGGTTTCATTGGTTAATAAATACAAATGCCCTTAGGTCACTAATATTTATTTTAAAAATAAACACTAATGATGATTTTTCAACTATTTCACATATAATTATAATTCAAGTTAATTGAAACTGCTGAAAGCATTATGGATTGACCAGATGCACCATAAATCATGCGTACATAAAAATTAATGGGATTCAATCTTCACCTAATCTGGTCAACTTGTTTTTGTTTAAAGTAAATCACAAATTATTCTTGTCATTTTGTTACCAACAGTTAAAGTGTTATCTAGAATTTTATTATTGTCACTATTGTAGCAAAACAGCCAAATGAATTCATCTCTGTGTCTCCTGGATGTCTTATGTATTTCCTTCTAAATAAATACGTCTTATACTAACGAAGCAGACTTCATAAAGGTAGTGGGAGAACAATTTGTGTTAACCTAGAATATATGACCTACTGTGATAGTACTGACCTTTTCTAAGTATCAACTATTTTCCATTGAATGAGTTTTTTCTATGTCTCTGTTGCTTTCTAGAGTTATCCAAAATGTATGCGATTATTGGCAAGCAAATGTTCCACAGTCAAAGTGTTCACTTAAGAGACCCAGATTTTATCAGAAGAATACCATGTGCTTTTGTAATATGCCTCCTGGAATTTATAGACAGAGAGTTAAACTAAATCTTAACAACATACTTGATGAACTTGAACTACCACGATTTTTAGTTAACTTCTTACTTACTGACAAGGTGAGATATAAAGCAGTATACTTTTCTTCTAGTTTATATCTTGTTTGTTACATTTATTCCTATACACTACTGTAAAAAGAAAAGGTTTTTGTCAAGAAATGTTGCAGTTACCAAAGTTTCTGGTAATTATAAAATCCTTTATAATTCTTTCTGTCCAGTTCCAGATACGCAGAAGCAATCATATGCATATAGGAACCCTCTCAAAGTCATAAAAATCAAAAAACTGAAAGCTTTTTGATCATCGCAAATGTCTTTTGGATTAGTTGTGCTCTCAGCTGCTTGATTTACTTGCTAAGCTTTCTTTGTCCTTCTAGACAACATTCTCTGCGCTAGCTTTAATACGAAATGAACTTACCTGAATTCTCCATGAATGGTATAATTCTATCTACTGACAGCCTTTGTCGTGATTAGTTGTTAATTTTTACAACTGTATTGATCGTTTTTATTGACTTGGAATTTGGACTTGTTCGTCATGTGATTTATCCTTTATTAGTTGGTAAATTTGAACTATAATAATGTATCTGTGAATCGTTGTTTCATCCAAACCAGACCTCTAGAAATCCCCTGATAATATCTGTGTTTTCGCTGTTTAAAATTTCCACATTTTCCCAGTCAAACTGGTGTCCATAATTGCCTACATATATCAATATAAAAAAAGAAATATCATGTCTTTTCACAGCTAGTTTATGGTCTTGGATTCTGAGTCGAAGGGGATGCCCCTTTGAACAACGTAGTATTTATTACAGTTTATGCAGTTTATTTTATAGATGGTACTGATCCTGTCTTCTTTTGGCGTTAGGTATTTTGCTCTGCGCAGTATTCAATCAACAGACTATGTTGTCATATCGGCTATGTCTATTTCGAATGGTTTGATTGTTCCAGAAGTTATTTCAAAAATATTCGCTACATATGATGGAATGAATTCTCTTGGGGTTTTCGTCAATGGCTTATTGTTGGTGTTTCGATTTGAATTTACACATGTTTTGATGAAATTGTATGAGTATTCATTTTTATTGAAGTTAGTTAGTAAATGTTTTCCTTCAATTGTCTTTAGGACAGGAATGCTGCAGTGTGTTTTAACTCTTTTAAACAATGTCTGAACACAGTTTCTTCTGTGGATAATTAGATAATTTCTGTCATAATTGACTATTTGATCTCTGTGTGTTGATTGTTTGTACACTTGTGTTCCCAGACTTCCTGCTTTTGTCTTCTTGATTATGATATTTAAAAAAGGAATTTGGTTATCTGCCTCTTCGTCTCTTGTGAATTTAATGTTTTGAATGGATTATATAGGTCGAAACCCAAAAGCTTTTAACAATGCCGTTGATGTTGCTTTTATTTGTTCTTATTTCTGATTACTGAATCGATATCATGTTAATAGGCATGATTCATTCAGTTCCATCCAAGTTGAACATTGTGTTTTTGTGAGTTCATGACTATAGAGTAGTTGTTGCATAGTTTCTCTCGCTAGTTTTGGACCAACCAAAGTGTATAATGCCGTGCTTCAGTATGACCTTTCGTTTATATGATTAAGAATATAGGTGAAATTTCTTAAATTTACAATCCCTAAAATTAATGGTCTGATAGTTGATGGCTTAAAGGCAAAAACCAAGAATCAAGAAGGAAAAACAAGCAGCCAAAACAGGACTTCAGGTGAACACAGAGAAGACGGAGGTGATGAAGATAGTCGGGCACCAACAAGAACAACCAACAACAATCACTATCAACGGGAGAAATTTCAGTGAGGTCACTTCCTTCACTTATCTGGGAAGCATCGTTTCAACTACAGGAGGAGAGCACGGATGAGGATGTCAAAACTAGCTAGAATGGGAAAGGCGAGATACACCTTCAACATTGTGAAGTCAGTTTGTAAGTCTTCTGCACTCAGCATATATAGAACAAGATTCGAATTTTCAACACAAATATCAAGTGAGTCACTTCTTCTGAATAGGTCGGGAGCTTGGTGCGAGCGTCATAAGAAGCATTTTCAACAGGCTGGAGCAGACTTTTATCTGCAGCTGCCTTCGCTGGCTCCATACTGAAGATGAAATGGCCAGCCAGGAAGAATTAGCAATAAGAAACTGTGCGAACCAATCAACCAAGCTTCCATTGCTCAACAAGTACACCGAATGAGATGGAGATGGATAGGATACATGGTGAGGAGATCGTTGGACGACATCACATTCCAGACAAACCTCCAATTGTAACCCGAATGGTGGACGACGATTTGTACGTTTGAGTGTGACATGGAGTAGATTGTATGAGGATCAGATCAGTGACTATGTGGGCAATGGTGGTACCAGCTTGAAATGACTGGATGCGTCCTGTTGAAGTCATATGTTCTACTCGGAGCCCAAAAGAATCATAATAATACAGTAATATGTATTAGTTTATTTTTGCTTAATGACAACATTATTCTCATATATTTTTTAAAGACGTCAAGTGAGAAAATAATTCATTTTCATTTTCATTTATTTGTTTTTTCACTCTTAGAAACTTGACGTTCATATTACAATTAAACTTGAAATGGAGAACAAAGATCTTGTTGGGTGTATGAAAGTAAAATTACCATTACAATTTATATCTGCCTAAAAGAAATGAATACTGCTTTGGTACTACATTCTATTCCTATGTAATGACATTCATGGATGAAGATTTGACGTGACTAGGGATAAACAGTCGGCAGAAGCAATCTATACATACTGAACAGGTCAACTTCATCATTGTATTGCCAATAACTAAGCTCCTCTTAGCTTCACTAAACTATCCCACTATGTAAACATTCTCAGGCTGTTAAGATAAACTAATTGAAAAAACCTCGTCCGTAATTTATTCGTCTTTGGTTTTCTACATCCTACAGGACCTAATTAATTTACACATTCATACAGAATAATTTGTTTCTGTGAATCAAGTAGTGGTGAACTGGACCTATTCACTTGGAGAGATGTACACAAAATATTTTTTATAATAGTTTTTTTGCAAGTAACAGATATTTGTAAATAAATTTATTTTATCCAGACGAATGACTTTTATAATCACAATTTGGTGCTGACAACAGAGTCACTGGAATCTAGAGTCAACTTAGTCTATGCTTCCATACAATTAGTGTCTATGCGTTAATAGACAAGCACTGACATCAAATGAAATTGTGTACAAATTAAATAGAGTAGTCACCTTGAGATCCATGAGACATCAAAACTTGAATTCTGTTACTTATGATGTATCCTAGTAACAGACTATGCGGATTTTTATAATACGACTGGAACAAAAGAACATTTTTACTTTTATATAAGTTCAAGTCTTAGAAGAATAAACAACCAGGAAAAGTTCAGATTTTAGGATTCTTAAGGATTCGGACTAATTTCTATGCAAATTTCAACACCAGCCAACATCAGTTAGAAAACCATTGAAAACTAAGCACAGCTGTTCCATGGTGTTTTGGGACTCTGTAATAGTTTGCAACCATGATTCTTACAGGGGTCAAACTCAGGACCTTCAAGTTACTAGGGTAGCTTAGCCAGCTCATTAATGGTTACTGGATAAATATTCCGAAGTTGTAATGAGAACTCGGGGCCATTCGGGTCCACAGTATCAGGGTGAAACGAAAGCTCTTCAGTGGCGGTGATTGGCAGGAGGGCTATATTGCCAACTGACACAAGTTAGAATTCACTGGTCGTCGAGTACGCAGCACCACGGCTCGATCCGTGGTGGGGTTGTCAGGGTGTACTGTTAAACAGTCTCATTCTAAGACGAAACAGCCTTCTGATCCTTCTCGATTTCCAATGACTCTCTACCTCGTGATGAAACCTAAGCTGAAACCAGAAAAAGTATTATTTCAGGAATTAAAAGGTATAAACAATTTTTGTTTGCTTACTCATAACAAAGTATCTTCGGGAGTTTATTGAGTGATAGGGACCCCCACTGGTCGCTACTTCTTATCAGAATCACGTCAGCCAAGAGAGCAGTTACTTGCCTATGACACTGGCTACAGGTTTCACTATATATCAAGAATTGGGAGAAGTTGGAATTCATGGGCCAATGAAGTGAGTGCTAGTGTCTGAAAGGATTACTAAAAGGGTGCATACTGCTGAAGATCTCCGAACTAAGAGGAAATTAATTATCATTCATTTTAGTGGCCTTCATGGGTAGCATTTTAATTAATGACTTAGTAGAAGCCATCTGAGTTAGATCAGCATCAAAGAAAGGTTAGGGCGAGTGTGTTATTATGAATAAAATGAAATACCCCCAATTGCACAATGTCAATTTTCTTAGTTATTATGCTACTTTGTTTGAGTTTTACCCATCCCCCTGTTTATTATGGCATTCTAATTCCTAATTGTAATTTTTATTAATTCAACCCCTAACCAGAAATTGTTCTGGAACTTTCCCATCCATTTGATATAAATACACGAATGTACAGCCTAGATGATGACTTCGTCGAAAAGAAAATTTTCTTCGCTGCAACTGTCTTTTTATTCCCTATGATCAAATGTGTATATTCCGTAAAATGAAATACAATAGAAGTCATCTAGAAGAGATAGAAAGCCTTATGTGTTGAAAGCAGACTTCTAAACTAGGAAGCGTTTACATTATTTTACAATGAATCTTTTACAAAACACAGTGAAAACTGAAGCTCTTGTCATTACGGACTAACTCGAATAAGTATCGAAACATTTTAGGAATAATTATAAGAGTGACAGTAATTTTCCTCGCGATTTGCGTTACAAACGTTTAACAGTTCACTCGTGCATTTCATTTCAGAGATTATATACTATCTTATTGAGAAGCAAAATGGCAACTATACATCTACAACCGACTCTTGTCATTACATCGACTCATTTTCGACCATTACTAGTAATGAGTTATTATTGATATTAGTGAACAATAATTTTATAGAATGGAAAATGCTGGTGTGAGCCCATAGACTAACAGCTAATCTAATCTACTGAAACTTTTAAATGCTACATAATGCATTCATACTGTTAAGACATGAGAGAAGCTGTTAAATTGTTAAAGGTATTCAAGAAAAAAGAGATGGACAGTCCTAGAAAAATCTGTTCAAATCAGCTGTTTTCCCACTGATTGATTGGACCGAAATGTTCCACGTCTGTTGACGAAATACGCCTAGTGGATTCCTCTGCTAGTCACCATCCACCAAATAAAATCACAGGAGTGATGGGATTTATCATCAGATAGACAAACATAAATATATATCTAGTAAGGAAGTGAAGAACTCTGAAAAAGTATCGGAGTTAGGAGATGATGAAAAAACTCAGTGAATTGTAAGTAATAATAAGCAATGCCAACGTCAATCGATACAACTCTTACTATTCTTACAGTTATAAATGGTATGACTTCATACTTCGGATAACTGAAATTAATCAAAACATCACACTGATACCTCGAAATCTGTTTAGGGATGACATTTTTTAATAATAATAATAACAGCTTTATTCCAAACAGTATTTGTGGTACAGGTATGGAATTTTCAGCGTTCATTACAATATTGCATCTAATTACCTCATAAATTTTATAAGGATTTAAAAATAAAAAGCAACAACAACAAAAAGAATAAAAGGGAAATAAAAGAAATAAAAAAGAACAGCATTGCATTCACATATTTAAACAATGCACCACAGGATATGAAATATAAAATTAGTGTGTAATAGAATATGTGAACAACAATATAATAGTAACAAAGAAAGGAGAACAAAAGCTGATGGGAACTATTTGTTAGAGTGCCGCAGTAAGTTGATTGTGTCAAACCTAACGGATTTCTCATCACATAACAGCTGAGCCAGATAAGGTATTGTGGAGTTTTTGTACTTGGTAGTCCTGGCATATAGCCTCCTATAGTTGCTTCTAGTTCTACCAGATGAAATGCAAGGAGAGAGCTGCGTATAGAGAGGGAGTTCGAAGTCTGACAATATAGAATTCGCTAGTTTCTTACATGACATTATATGTCTATCCACAATGGTGTTAACCAGTTGGTTTAACGAAATCCCACTTCCCCTACTAACAGCTTTTAGTGCCCTACGCAGCAAAGCAAAGTATTTCTTAAGTAATCCAGGGAAGATTAATGGGGAGCAGTAAGGAGGGATGGTTAGAATACAAGAATTGACAAACTGAGAAAGCAAAGACTGCTTTATACCAGACAGCCTTAACTTCCTAACATAGAATGTTAAGCGAAACATCTTTCTAGTAACTAGCAAGATGTGAGAGGAAATTTAAATTTAGGAAATTTCAAACACTTTTCGATATTAAGTGGTAGTAGGCAGTCTGCAGGAAGCCTTGAACTTAGATTTCTGGCTAGTTGGTACTCCTCAGCAAGGCTTATCTGCAGCCTTGAAGGAACTCATGCAAACTTGAGTGATAGAATTCAGTCTGCACCAAACAAAGGTTTAGACACACTACAGTAGTCACTCACTAGTGTTCAGTTAAGTTTCAAACAATGTTTCATGTCGTCACTAATACATCTAGTTCTACGTTTCACTAAGTATTACAGAATACTACAGAAAATCCAGTGACCTTTAGATTTATGCACAAAGGACGTTGCTTGTACATCTAAGTCCCCAATTGTTGTGAAATACTGTATTGTATTGTACTGTATTGTTTTTTCTTCCGGATCACAGGTCACAGTATCAGTAAAACACGGTAATAATATTTCAAACAGAATTGGTTTTTCATAATCATACCACTGCATCCACACGTCTTCCTAATTTGCTCTATGAATTTTCACTCCCTCCTGTAATTTTAATCTAATTTTCTGTGTGCATGACAGGTGTTGTGTCACTTCTGTTGAGTGTATTAGATGTGGACTCGATGAACAAAGATTCGGTAATTATCCTCTCTTTTCACTTGATCATATTACTTTTTAATACTTCCAGTATATCTCACCTGATTGTGTGATTGTGTGCAACTGCATGCAAGAGTCTACTATTCTGCGTTTAGTTAGATTCTTATGTACTGATAACCTAACTGATCCCTGTTTGGTAGTTCTATTTACTTATTTGACATCACAGTCATTACCTGGTACTCAATAAATTATAATATTCTGTCTAATTAGACTGTTTGGATCTTTAGGCTGATAAAGGTGGTTGGTTTCAGTGCCACCCTAATTCTAGCTTTATCAGTAAATTTACGCATAATTTCTTTTTACTGTTATTGAGTATATTTAAATCAGTTTTAGGAAATTTAATTTTGAATGCAAACCCTCGTAATAATTAGGGAATTTCTCTAAAACGATGTAAACTTAAAATCACCATTTACACAGTTGGTATCACTCACTGATTACCCAACCGATAGCTGCTGCTTGCATATCGCATGGACCCAACAAGATACACCTGCTGGAACTAATGTTTCTACCGTTCCTAGCATGTCAGAAGGGTTGTAAGGATAGCGATTAGACTAAAAGCAGTTACCGGTATAGTGTAAGTTTTTTTACAATATGGTGGGACAATAGAGATGTAACAGCAGTAAGGTGTTTCCCTCAGATGACCAGCATGCTATGCTGTCTGTCCACTCTGGAAAGAGGAGGTTAGAAAAGGTCGACCACAAAAACTGTACATCCCGACTTACTCTACGGTGGTCCGTAACCCGCGGTAAGTTACTGATACGGGACCGAACCGAAAAGTTAGTTCACACGGGCCAGGTGTGACTGACGTCGAGCAGTTGTCCCCTGTGCTCTGCAGTCATGCAACAGTAATTTCGCTTCTGTTTCAGGCACCTCAAGAAAAAAAATCAACTTCCACGGTGTGGGCAGCTGGGAAGTAGCAACCACCCACACACTTGCAAAAGCACACGAAGGCCTCCTAATCATCATTCTCCTTTACCTCTATCATCCTCATCATGTTGCTTCACTACTAGCTACACTACTATTCTGCAGGCTAGTCAGTCATCTTCATTTCATTCTGTGACCACAAATAACGATGACAGCCAGAGAAACACTCCC